CCTAGAGAAATTAACTAGATGGACTGGGGTTATCCCCCCCCCCCCCCGAGGGCTCAAGCGTTGTGAATAGGAAACGTTGGATAACTGGTTGATGCTGACGCCTCCAAAAGAAGAGAAGATGGAAGACAAGTTTGCACCCGTTGATATGCTAATCTTCCTGCCAGTTTCGTGATGGCGCTCTTTATTCATGAAGTTAATGGTGGGGCACTGATATCCACTTCCAAATTATCAGCCAGAAGTCCCATTTTTTTCTGGCAGAGTCGACAGCAGCTACCTGGTAAGCATAGCGTGTAGTCTTTTGATTCCTTTTCACAAAGTGGTACTCATTTATCAACCTTTGAAAACAGAAAGACGGATGACCTTGACTGGGGTTCGAACCAGGGATCCCTGCATTCCGAATCTGACTCTATACCGGCTGAATAACCCTGGCAAATATATAAGCGACCATCGAAACTGTGACTGACAGGCATACGGTATGCTAGTCTATCCCAGGACTGAATATAGCCAACCGGAGTATGGAAAGACCGATCAATAATGAGTAAGGCGAAGGCTACCATTTTGGAAGCAAAGAACTTTCCCGTTCTCCTGTATGGCTTCGAAACAGTTGCAGCCCTGATGAGTCAAGATCAACAGAATTGTTGCAAAAAAGCGCAACATCATACAGGTATCGAGGTAGATAACAATGCGGCGTAAATAACACATTTTCAAAACCACCAGACTGAAGGTTTCAAAGAGCGTGACGAAATGGATGTGGAGACAAATATAACAAGTAATCTTTCCTCATATAGGGAAATATAGTAGAAGAGGCTAGGCTAAAATATGACAAAATCTATTAGAAGCAGACTACTCATGATAAAGTGTTCTTTGTCAAAACAGTTGATGTTTAATGTATTTAACTTCCTGCGTGATGGAAATCAATAATCTACGGCAAGCACAGATGTTCAGCTTATGGCATCCGGGATGACGAACAAAGAATAATACTCTGAAAGAACACAAAAAACTAAATTCCCGAATCTGTCGTCTCAAAGTAACAAACTTGCTCACGTGAACCGCTCGCAGGTTCCAACTAATCTCGCGACTCATACTATTAGCATACCAATGTGTAATGGGCAAATTTGTGGTTATTTCCATCCAGTGTCGCTGAGCTTCGTAATCGCCGAACATCGGTGGCTTATTTTCACCTGCAATAAACCAGCTTACGAAGTTTGTCCACAGAAGTTTAAGCAAAAACACCTGAATAGGGACCGACAGCGACAGCCCATCGGAAAAGTACTGCCACTATTAAAACGATGACCGAACTGAGTAAGAAAAACTGTTTACCGTCTTTCGTAGGTGACATCATGAAATGTAGAGCTAAAATACAATGAGCAGCAGCATTACGGTATTTCGAATAAAAAACGTTTAAAGCCATTATCCGTATTCTGGTTTCGAATGAATCATAAAAAACAATACATGATACTGACAAAACTTTATTCATGACTGATATAAAGCCTTTCAGCTGTAATCAGTTTCAGCAAGTTTCACAGAGGCCCTCTAGCAGCCAGGACAAGTATGAAGAGTCTCGTGGATGAACAAGTCGCAATCTCCGCAAAACTGATGAAAGCAGAGAGTGCAAGAATATGCCTAAATCGAAATACAGTATTAAAAAGGAGAGCAGCATAAAAAACAGTAGCAAGTCTTATACGCTGATTCTTTGCATATTATTACGAAACGGAAAGAGCAACAGCTGTAATAAAATCAAACACAACCATTCCCTTAAAGAACCACAATTGAATATTAAGGCGCTGGTTTACAGAAGTCCAACCATTCAGTTTAGTTTGGTGAGAAATTCAAATTAACTTCATTTTCTCAAATGCAATCTGTAAACAACATGTCACTTCAAATGAAAATTTTCCTTATAGTTCCATATGGCACTCAAACAAATGCATGCCGGAAAAAGTTAATAGAACAGAAGTCACTGTGCGACTACACTGCAAACGCCGACAACTGTAATCAAGGACTTGAAGGAATGAGTTGGACCCGGTTACAGCGCAGCC